TCCCCGGCAGCCCTCAGGCTTCCAGGTAGATAGCGCTTGATTGGCAGCTGCTGTGACAGTCAGTGGAACAGGCTAAAAGTGGATGAGTGTCAGCCTTGCTACAGGGGCTTAAAGCAGCTGCAGTGTTGTAGCTCCGTCCTGGAGGGAGAGAGAGAGAGAGAGAGAGGTCCATGAAATAAGACTGCCAACTCTGTGCTTTTTCACGCTTCTCTCAACTGAAGCAGGTGGGAGCTAAATAGGTTTTTGAAACCTCTCTGGAGTTTATCCTGAGCCTGGAAACTGGAACATTTTTTTTTTGCAACTCACACCATCTTGTATCCTCTCCAGCTTTCTTGGTATCTTTGGTTTTCGTTAGTGTTTTGTTGTTACATCTCGTTATTAAGTCTTTCTCGAGTGCCTCTCTCCTTCCTTCCAATCACGGCAGAGTTGTCAGCTTCATTTGTCACAGCAGTGGGGGAAAAAAAAAAAAAAGTTTTCTCTTTTTCAAAAACTTCAGTTCATCTCAACCCATTTTGTACAGTTGCTTAGAAGAGGTTTGAGTGAATAGAAAATAGAAAAAAAAAACGTAATTTGAGCATGTCTTTGGTCTGAAGTGGTTATGATCAATTCCCAGAAGGAGACAAGCAATCTGTGATGGATTTTACTGCTTAGCAGTTTGGGTTCTACTAAAAGCAAAAAATGCATCAGTTTTCCCTATGGCTACATGTACCTGAGTCTTCCATACACAGACAGAGGTCAACACTTTGAGACTTGCAAAAAAGAAGCTCACCTATAAGGTACTGGGACAAATCTGGTTGCTGATAGAATCTACCTGCTGTTCCATGAAAGTTTTTACAGCCTCTATGAAATCCAAGCTGTGTCAAATAAAAATGAATGCTTCCCCAAGTAAAAACACTCATTTTGTAAAGCAAATCAACTTTATTTTCTTTGAGAATCATCATATTTTTCATGCATTCAATATATCCATCAATTATTTCATATCTCCTGCATAGCCAAAAACATAATGTGCAACATGTGTGCCTTTACTGTGGTATTTATATACATGCTTTGCAAATGTTTTAGTAATGAGGATTAGTTTGTTAGACTTCGCTATGCAGAATTTCTATCTGCAGAGATGATGGGTCAGTTACCTCGGCATGCTAATAGCTTAATTCATAACAGCCCAATCCGTCTTCAAATTAATTTCCTTTATAATTCTTGGATAATATAAAGGCATCTAAATACTGTGTATGGAGCATTGAAGTTTATCAGAAAGCTGTTAAATTAAATTAAAATAAAACCAAATTGTGACATCATCATGAAAAAAAGCATACCTTCTTTAAGCCCAGCAGCAAAGTATACATTTTACACCTAAATTATGGCAGTGTAGATATACACTAGGCTAATTTAGATGCATCAGTAGCATTAGTCATATTTCTTTGTCACAGGACTTGACGTTTTGCAATAATGTATGATCCCACATCCATAGCAACCAGCAGGATTGCCAAGGTTATAGTCTGGCAGCAGTAACTTAGAATACTGTCATCAGTTCTGAGGAGCACATAAAAAAAGAACAAACTATGTGAACATCAATATATGTGCCAGCTGCATCTCTGCTTCTGATAATATTTAAACGACTAGCTTACAGAGATGTTTAAATTAAACTCAGCCTCAGGCTTTATTTGAGTCATCTTTAACTCTGGTTGACCTAAACAGGAAGAGTCGGAGCCAAAACGCGGCTTTGAAAAAGGAGGCAGTTTGTAACATGATAATTCATTTTTCTTTCTGAGATCAAATGTTGGATAACTTAGTGAAATTTGATGTTTTCCTTTGGTAAAAAAAATCAAAACCTATGACAATTTTTTTTTCATCTCTGATGTACCAAAAATACATTAGTAGAAGATTTCTAAATGACAGCATTTGCTTAATGTATGTCAACAGTATTTCAAAACATGTTTTCTATATACCATCTAAATTGAAAATGTAACATAACATCTCTCTTCTGTAGTTAAAGGTATAGTGGAATTTATTTATTTATTTTATTTTTTTTTAAAAGACCTGCCCTCTCCACTTAGACTTAGACTTCCTTTATTTTCATTGCACAAAAAACACAAGGTGAATCTTGACAACAAAATGTTGATTACTTGGCTACCAGTGTAACAGAGCTAAGACCTTATTCCTGCACAATAAATATGTTATCTATGAGTAAGAGCTAGCTATATACAGGGTAAGAGTATATAATACTCTCCTCGTGCACGCTCTGTTTAAAAGCTGCTGTTTGCATCTCTCACACAAGCTTACTGTCTAAAAGAAGATTTTCAATTTTTCCCCTATGTCAGACTCACTGGTACGGTAAGTTAAAATGTTGATGAGCAAGTAGGACGGCCTTACTTAAATATATCACCAGAATGATTGACTATTAGGAGGACCACTTATTTAGATGATCCACCTGGAAAAAGAACATCCTCCACTAGGGGTGTGGGAAATAATTGTTTTGGCGATATATCGTGATATTCGGCTGCCCAATATA